GTCTACATACGCTCGGCCACCTATCGCGCGTCGTCCCGACGCGACAATACTGGTAGTAAAAGAAACTCGGTCTCTCTCTCGTAGGAACAGGGCACAGAACACAAAATAAAAACATATATATACATATGGACATGGAAAAAAAAAAAAAACTTCCTACAGGGAGGGAAGAAAAAAACATGTGGGGTGTGCTAAACATCGTGGTCATAGGCAGTGAGCATCGAAGTGCATCACTGCACGCCTTCCTGCGTCTGGACAGATACTGCAACACGGGAGACATCGCTGCGGCTGAGCTGTGACGTAACAGGGTACGGTCTCCTCTGGAACGGTGAAGCAGACATCGTAGGAGTCGCTGCAGGTTTTCACTCAACCTGGGGCACGACATGCTGGTGCCCTTGAGTGAGGCGTCGACAAAACTCGGCAACTGGGCAGGACTTCTGGCAAGCGACTCAGGAGGACACTTCTCGACTGGTACTGTCGCTGGGCTATCACTGCCGGCGAGCGTGGAGCGAGTTGTGGAGCGAGTCGTGGCAGAGACGACTGGGCGAAACATCTGGGAGTCGTAACATCATACACCAGACTGCAGTGAGAGAGCTAGCAGTCAAAGTGACATCTTTGTGCAGGCTGCTCACTGAAGCTTGTGACACGAGGCTGACACAGCGCCTGCCGACAGGCCTGGCTGCGGCTTGACGAGTATCATCTCTCGACAGGTGGAGTTATAGCAGAGGTTAGTCTAAGCGTCCCCAGACTTGTTTCTCTACATAAACTGCACTCTGAAGGTCTGGAGGTGAAGTGAAACAAATCTCGATGGGAATCGTAGCAGGTACGATTCTACAGAACATCACGAGCGACGAGCATAAAAGCTTTCTGTACAAGAGGGCTCATACGCTCAGGGCTGAGAAATCAGCTGTCAAACACACTGGTCACGGGTGACTTAGTGGTACAACTCAAGGGTCTGACCACAGACCTCACTGGACACACGGAAAAACTTACAAACACACCGCTGTACATACGGTACAACATGGCTTAACTAGCAAAAGATGCTTTTCTGCGCATAAAACTGACTAAGACATACTAAAATGTGAGAACACTGACTGAGAGGAATTAATTAACACACGACATATATTTTCTCTCAATCTTCTCGACAATACTGAAATAATTACTAGAACACTCGATGTGACATCATGTGATGTCAGGCGTGATGTCGCAAGGTGACGTCAGCAGCAGTGACGTCAACAGACATCTCGAGGTGACGTCAGGCAGACATCGTGAGGTGACGTCAGCAGACATCGTGACGTCAGCAGACATCGTGTGACGTCAGCATCTCGAGGTGACGTCAGGCAGACATCGTGAGGTGACGTCAGCAGACATCGTGAGGTGACGTCAGCAGACATCTCGAGGTGCAGACATCGTGAGGTGACGTCAGCAGACATCTCGAGGTACGTCAGCAGACATCGTGAGGTGACGTCAGCAGACATCGTGACGTCATGAAGTCGGGCAGCATCGTGGGTGGCGTCGATGTGATGCGGGCAGCAGACCACAGCATGAGGCCTGGGATATCTGGTAACTCACGTGGCTTTGTAGGTCTACGTGACATCGGCCACACCCACGTGACGTCGTAATCCACGTAGCTTCGAGTGGCCTCGGGCACTCGGATACACAGCACTGGCAATGAATTCATACGAAAAACAGCAGAAAACACAGCAGAGGGAGAGATGGCGTGGTGGTGTATGGTAGTGTGGTGGCGAGGAGCGTGGGTGAGTGTACGGCGAGGGAGGATCTGGCAACTTCCTCCTCTCAAACCCAAAACACGGCGAAACGCACACTGGACGCAGAAATCACCACAAAACTCACCTCTGGCTCGCTGAAACAGCTGTGCTGAGCTGAACAACAACAGCAACATACAAGTGACGCTGAACACGTGACTTGAGAAACAGCGTGGGGTCACTGGGACGCTGTAGCGTGGGGTCACTGTGACGCCACTCACATTTCTCGGAGAATTTCGATAAATTTCGGCTGGATCCTGCTTGTACCTGTGTCTGGATGCTCAAACGTGCAGACACGACATCAGGATAACTCGTTGAGAGACGGATGCTTCTTGTGTAGGGTGATGAAGTGAAGGTGACTTCATACCTCTCCTTCCTCTCTCCAGGGTAAACACAACGCTGCGACCACCGCTGGTACCAATATAAAGGGCTTGTTTGGTAGCTGTAGAGCGGGTAGTTAAATGATATACTTCTTCGGAGGCTTCTTAGTTTATTGATAAGTAGTGGTGGGTTACACAGGCTTGTGTGTTTGTGCCCATGGCCCGGGCAGGGCCATGCCCACGAGAGAGAGCTGAGAGTACTTGTGTGTTGAAGCCAGGCCGCTGTGTGAGTGAGAGCGAGGCAAGTCTGGGCATACTGAAGTGGCAAGGCCTATAGGTGGCAGCACTTGAGTGGCGCGAAATATGAACTAAGCTGGCAGACAGCATGGGCTGTCTGTGCAGACAGTACAGGCTGTCTACACCACTTTGCATGTTCTCTCAACCCACATTGCATCTCTCAGCCCACATTGCATGTTCTCTCAGCCCACATTGCATGTTCTCTCAACCCACATTGGATGTTCTCTCAACCCGCATTGCATGTTCTCTCAACCCACATTGCATGTTCTCTCAACCCACATTGCATGTTCACTCAACCCACATTGCATGTTCACTCAACCCACATTGCATGTTCTCTCAGCCCACATTGCATGTTCTCTCAACCCACATTGCATGTTCTCTCAACCCACATTGCATGTTCTCTCAGCCCACATTGCATGTTCTCTCAACCCACATTGCATGTTCTCTCAACCCACATTGCATGTTCTCTCAACCCACATTGGATGTTCTCTCAACCCACATTGCATGTTCTCTCAGCCCACATTGCATGTTCTCTCAACCCACATTGCATGTTCTCTCAACCCACATTGCATGTTCTCTCAACCCACATTGCATGTTCTCTCAACCCACATTGCATGCTTTCTCAACCCACATTGCATGTTCTCTCAGCCCACATTGCATGTTCTCTCAACCCACATTGCATATTCTCTCAGCCCACATTGCATGTTCTCTCAACCCACATTGCATGTTCTCTCAACCCACATTGCATGTTCTCTCAACCCACATTGCATGTTCTCTCAGCCCACATTGCATGTTCTCTCAACCCACATTGCATGTTCTCTCAGCCCACATTGCATGTTCTCTCAACCCACATTGCATGTTCTCTCAGCCCACATTGCATGTTCTCTCAACCCACATTGCATGTTCTCTCAGCCCACATTGCATGTTCTCTCAGCCCACATTGCATGTTCTCTCAACCCACATTGCATGTTCTATCAACCCACATTGCATGTTCTCTCAGCCCACATTGCATGTTCTCTCAGCCCACATTGCATGTTCTCTCAACCCACATTGCATGTTCTCTCAGCCCACATTGCATGTTCTCTCAGCCCACATTGCATGTTCTCTCAACCCACATTGCATGTTCTCTCAACCCACATTGCATGTTCTCTCAGCCCACATTGCATGTTCTCTCAGCCCACATTGCATGTTCTCTCAACCCACATTGCTTGTTCTCTCAACCCACATTGCATGTTCTCTCAGCCTACATTGCATGTTCTCTCAGCCCACACTGTGATGTGCACTCTAACTTCGTGTTTATTCATTAATTTGTGTTACTGTTATTTCACTCCTTTATTACTTATTGTATATTTAAGCTTCCACAACGGTATTCAGCTCTCTCTTATGTCATATGTGTTTGCTATGTCATGTCTGTTTCCCATATCATATCTTTTTGCTAGTATTCTATCAGTTCACCAATCCACTGGTGCAGTTGGTAGAGCCGTTGTTGGCAGAGTGATGGCTCTCATATAGAATCTGGAGCACGCATCAATAACTGGGACTCTACCCTTCAAACTAAACTGTTCGCCATACTCTTTGCACTCAAATGTGTCCATGTATCAAAGGTTGACGTTTTAATTGTAACTGATTCTTTATTATTCATAAATGTTCTTAACGCGTAGAATACCAATTGTGGCCTGCTTGTGTCAGAAGCCATGCATAGTATGGTGGAACTGTCAGAGTACACACTCTGTGGATTCTATCTCACATTGGTCTTCAAATGCATTATGGAGCTGATGAATTGGCGAAACCATGTGTCTTCAAGTAGAGAGAAGACTGCAGTCTTTGGCTATCAGTTAGCAGTTTGAAACAATAATACGAAAAGAACTTCAGCTAAACTTCTTTGACTTGAGACTGATTGAGACTAACACAAGTCTGTCCATCTATTATCGTTCTATTACGCAGAAAGAGCCACATGTCTATGGTATATCCAGTAAAATAAGCAAACTCCTGGATGTCACTACCGCCCGGCTATGACTGGGTTACCAGTAACTCTGGAAAATAAATCTCTGGCAAAGGAACTTTGCCAGATGGACAATTATCTCACCTTGCGCCATTATGTGCTGGAATGGGACCAAATTAATTAATTCAGAGAAAACTCATTTAGAAATGTTCAAGAAATGCCAAAATATTTTATCCACATTGTCACATTACCAAACCATTCTGAAAAAGTACCCTGGCTTGGTCTATTGTAAATAACCCATAACTATTTAAACTTGTTTAATTTCAAGCTTATCTTGCTAAATTATAAAACTATATTTTTGCAAAATTTGTGCAACTTAACTAATGTCTTTATAAATAATTCATTAAGGCTGTAACGAAATATAAACATGTAAATAGTTCATTACCAATATAACTTATTTAGCTAACAAATTTTGCGGCCCATTCCCAGGACCCATTTTGTGCCTCTGTAATGTTTAGACTACCAATAACAGGATGGGTGCAGGAATAATAATTCTATCTGAAAGACCTTCCATTAGTGTTTGAAACATCTCTTTACTTGCCAATATGAACATGTCAAGAGCTTTTAGAACCATCTTTCAGTTCGATGTAAGACTAGGAAACTTAAAATGTTGATGACAGTCTGTAGAGGGATTTACCTGGTAGCCGTCGTATGTCCAGGAGGCCCACATCATCTTGCAGGACTGGATGTCGAAGGGAAAGTATTCAACGTTCATATCACACGAGGAGCGATAGATGCCGTGTGAAAGCCACGTTACTTCACCTGCCGAAGTCACAATCACGTTGGTGTTGATGGTAGCCGCTGAGTACTGCGAATCGGCA